TAATGCTTATCTTTCTGAAGATTACACTCTACACCAAATAAAACACCTCCAAATCACAGACCTACCTACCTACTGCTGGAAGTACTCAAACTGATGTAACAGACTGTTTCTGCCCCGTTTAGTAGGGTAATACCGCCTGGAACTGGTAAAGAGCTGACAGATAAATGCACATAAAGCTTCTCTAATAAGAAATAAAGAGCTGACAGATTATAGTCCCTAAATGCACATAAAGCTTCTCTAATAAGAAAGGATCAAAGAGATTATGCGACACAACTACACAAACTGTAATTCAGAAACTCAAGAAAATGGGAATCGGCAAAAGCAGAGACAGGGCTGCTACACACAGCTTTAGGAGTACCTGAAATACAGGGAACATCAACTTCCTTTCCTATGGATTAATGTCAAAATGAGGCACTTTTGACACTAAAGACATTCAGTACCGCGTCGGGAAAGAAATCAAGCTCTTAGAGTGTCTAAGAAAAGCCCTGATGTCAGATGAGACTGAACCAGAACTAAGCCCACAGAGCAGAAGAAGAGGTGAATAAGGGCTGGGGCAGCTTCGCTGCTGCAACGGCCACGAATTCAGGTTGGATCAGATTGAAAAGAGCACACAGTAGGAAAAAGCTCTGACGTTCAGCCATGCCATGTCAGATCCCTCAGGAAATAGCTGGGGCAATGCTATTGTACATTATAAAAATAGACACTGAAAACATAGATTTTTAAAATGTAGATTAAAAAAAATAATATTTAAACAGACTATTTTTGTAGGAAAAAGTGAAGGCGGGTATCTAAGCTTGTACTGCAGGATGGCACCCACAGAACTCCCCTCCCAAAGCCCGTCCCCTGGACTCTCAGGACTTCCACAGGTTCTGCTTTTGCACATAAACATCTCTCAGAAAATGGATTTAGGGCAATGCCAAAGTGTCCTAGGAATCTGTATGAGAGCCAAGAACTCAGGCGCTGTGATACACCCCTCTGTCTTGTACCACCACAGCTCCAGTAACTCCAGTCAACTGGCTTTTGGTTGATACCATTCAAGCTGGAGTGGAATTATTGCCCCAGCGTCTTTTCTTACTGCGAAAAAGCAGAATTCCAGTGAGGAGGGAAGGGGAGAAGAGGCTGTTATTGCCCCAGAGGCTGCTGTCACAGCAGGGTGAGTGCAGGCGACCTCGGGCTGGGCGAGGGATGATGACTGGAGGTGCCACCTCGTTAGTCATCCTAAGCCAAGCTCTTCTCACTCGTCATTAACTTGTCCTGAAAATAACTTCAAATAAACGCAAACTCAGTAATAATCTTAGCACATCATCCATTTTAAGATTTAAGCTGTGACATTTCCTATTATTAAATACTATATTACGCAGAAGACGTGGCTCGGGTCAAATTTTTAAGGGTCTGACGTTACTCAGCTTATATTTCAGTCTCACTGTTCTCCCAGGATGGGGGCTGCGGAACGTCGTCAGCGTTACTGAGGAGTCAGTTATGAATAACCTGCTCCTTTCCTAAGCCGTGGAGAAACGTGCTAGAATTGCTATTAAGATAAATCTACAGACAATTTTGGTTAAGGCTTTACAAGGGTTTAAGAAGGTTTGTTTAGGCCTCAAAGCCAAGCCATCCATCTGCTCCAACGACTCGCTGCTGGAGAGTTGGACTTTTAACGCTACCGCCACCGTGGCTGGACCACAGCAGGAGCTGCTTTTAAGAAGACAAACCAGCACCAGTTTTAACTTTAACAGTTTGGGAACTAGACTCAACAGACATTTTTAATGAAGAGAATTTAAATAGAAGCAACAACTGGCTGCTTTTCTGGAATACGTCTACCCATCTGCAGGTAAAGTGACATTTACCAAAACCTTAAAAAATGGAATCCCAGCCCAGGTTGAGACATGCTACCCTCAATACAGTTCAGGAATTGACTGAAAATTGTGTGTCTGCAGGAAGCACCTGGGTCTGTGCTACTTTCTGAAGGGGAGACCTTTAGGAAAAACACTCAGAGTGTAAACTTTCTGAAGGGAAAGAGCAAAGTCAAGAGCTCCTTGATGCGTAAGGCTACTTGGTGTTCAGAAGTTACAGCACAGAAGTACCCAGAAGCTGCAGCCCCTCTGAGCTGTGCACAGTCTATTTTACAGGCTCTCCGGACCTTGGAGACCTTCTTCTGGTGGAGCAAACCAGTGAGACACACAGAGACCAACCCTACCTGAGAATAAACAGCCAAAGGGAAACAAGACTAAAGGGAGGGCAGTTCTGTGATGGTGACCCTGGACCCAAATTCAGGAGCCTGTGGAGACGTGTCATGAACTCAGAGAACCTGCTGCCTTTCCTCCAGCCCCTCTTTATAGACTGAGCTTTGATTCTGCAGAGGCAAGTGTTGTTTCACGCTGTGGGAATAGGCAATATTAGCAGTACAGTGTCCCAACTCCCATCGTAAATCAGCTGCTGGATGGAGACACGCTTTGGGTAGGTATTCTTGGCAGAAGTAAAATTTAATACAGCCTGCCAGCACGTGGAAAAAATTTAAGGTCCCATTCAATGAAGTCAGTGTGATTTTGGCCTGAATCACCCATCTGCTACCTATATTAAGCAGTATAACATTCTCTATATAAATAAAATATACTCAATTTTGATCGCGTTTGACATTTCTTACGGCGCTAAAATTTTTGTCATTTGTCAACCTGTATTTTTAGAGCTCTCTTGGACTGACTGCCAGGCTCCATCTGGAAAAATCAGAGGTGTTCCCAACCCAAAGCAGTTCATAGCAATTCTCCCACATCAGTTAAAGAAAAGGATCAAATTTAAGTGATTGCAGATGACCGTAAAAAAAAGATGGATTTTAACTTTCTTAAAGCCCACAAACAATGAAATAGTTAATTATTAATATTTCCCCCCCCCCCTCATGAGTTTTCTGGAGACAGAGTGCTGAATAGACTCATCAGCCTTCAGCTGCTGCTGGAACCAGCTCCTGTTCTTTCCCACTCTTACTGGTGTGACTGTATAGAGTCTGTGCATTGAATCGAGAGAGATGCTGTGCACATGTGGTGCTATGTACGCACACTCATCTATTTCAGTGATTGCTCCTGGTCCAGCTAAGGAATTTGGAAAGAATAAAACAAGTCAGCAGGGAGGCCAAGGGCAAAGTCACCAAAGGCAGATACAACAGTGAGGCGGTTTCCTAGCCAAGCACATTAGCTCATTTTCATCTTTTCTAGCAGTGCATTACATCACAACTCCTTATCTGCCCCATTATTTTTTTTTCACTGTATCAGCCTTTAAGAACATATGAATCACAATGAGAATAGAACATTAATCTTTACTGCTTACCTCACCATTATAAAAGCAGCTATTAATATAAGCAGGGGAGAGGGGGCTCCTTATACTGAACGCAGTTATGGAAAAGCGGTTTAGAAAAACCCTCGCTTTTGAGCTCAAAATGCCCTGTAGGTGCATTGCCCGGGGACCTCCCCTAAGGGCTGTGTCCCAAAGGCAGAGCAGCGAGCGACAGGTGATGGGACAGGCACCACCTGAGCGTTACACACCGCTCTGGCAAGGTCTGGCTGCTGGTCAATTAAACCAGCATAACGTTGTTTTTATTTTGGGAGGATTTACGGCTCAGTGGGTTACACACACCCCTTGCAGAAGCTGCGCTCAGGCAGGTGCGGTGACCAAGAAGAAAGCTGGGCAACAGCAACTGCCTGGGTTATTTCTTAGCCCTTTTAATTTGTTGAGATTGCTCACACTGCAAGTCTTAAGTTATTTATAATTAACAGCCTCACTAGTGCACAGAAAATCCTTGAATTGCTCTCATTACAAACATTTAGAAAGAATCTGGCTCTAAATTATGAGTTCTAAAATCACCGAGTTTTATATCTAATGCTGCTCTTCTGAAACCATGTAAAATCATTTTAGATTATTTTTTCTGTGGAGTTCAACCTCTTACTCTGTTCCAGCCCCCGGGACACAGAAGCACCAACATCACCGCTCCCAGACACACTGAGGCAGTTTTGTCAGATGATACTGGTCTTCCCTGTCCTTCCAACAGGAACAGAAACAGCCAGGCTTTTCCTCTAGCAATTTGCACCACGCTGAGCACACGGTGTCGTATCGGCCCATAAAACCCATCTTCTGCTGTCTGTGTACAGAAAACCAATGTAATCAGCAGAACCAAACAATTATATGAAGAAAGATGCATCACTAAGGTGCGTAGCAATTAGGACATACCACACAGTCCCAGCTCCCAAATCCTCTCTCTCCCCGAGTGATGAGACCAGCAAGTATTCCCATGAGTGAGCCGCAGCTGCCGCTGGACTGAACCCTGGAGTTACACAAATACACACTTTTCTTGTTGTCACTGAGAAGTAAATAACATTCACTGACTATTGTTTCCACCTGTGTTCCCTGGTATTTAATGCTGGCTCTATACGGCAACTGCCAGAAAGGGCGGCTCAAATTGTTTCACTGCACTACAGTCAGAGATAGGCAACAAGGGCAGCACAAGAGCTGTTGACCTCCAAGAGCTTTCTTTTAGATTTTGTTAGGATAAACAGTCAAAAACATTCCTCAAACAGACTGCCCTGTTATGGTCCTGCCGCTGCCGAAGGTGTGCAGCCAAAGCAGCAGTGAAATTAAATTATGTTCTCCAAAAATACGGCAATTTCACTCACTCCACCCTAAACGTTACCCGTCTCACAAGCCCTGCCTTCACAAAAGGGAGAGTTTCTTCGTGACGCTTTATTTCTTGAGATGGTTCATAAGGAGAACTCGAACCCTAATGCCCTGGGAAAAAAAATAAATTAAATATAATCCACCTTATGAGTTACGGCAAAAAAACATTCTGGACAACATCAGGTTTTACTACATGTAATGGCTTTATGAAATGTATAAATGTTACTGTTCTATAAAATACATTTTTCATTCAAAAATGCAAATTTATAATTCATATTTATTCAGGACTTTCCTTTGTAGTGTTTTACTGGTAAAAGAAAGAGGCCGGATTGCCAAATGAAGGATTTCTTATAGCGTTTTTATTAACAAACTCTCATTGGAAAGCTCTGGGCGCATTAACACAGGAGGCACATTGGCTTCGACGTTTGGCATTTGACAGTCAACAGAATTGCACTTGGCTGCCAGAGCCTGGCTACCGCAGCGGGAGCCCCGGCGGCAGCCCTGGCAGCGAGCCTCTGCCCCCGCCCGACTCACCGGGGGCTGCTTCTCACCCGGGTCAGCCTTGGGGACCCGCTCGTTCTGCGAGGAATGGGGATCCACCTTGCTCTCCCCTTTCTTTTTCTGCTTGGAGAGAGAGGGTTTCTTGCTTTCGACCCCGTTGGCTTCCGCGCCGCCCTTTTCGTCGCGCGTGTCCGTCTGCGGGCAGAAGCCCTTGGGGTTATTGGATAAGCTCTTCTCGCATTCGGAGCAACGCACTACGAGAGGCCCCGCGTTTCGGCAGAGGAACTGGGAGGAGCTCATCACCTTTGGAACGGTCCTTACGTTTTCCTCGGGGTTGGGATGAGGGTGTGAATCTGTCCGGTTTATTCTTTGATGTGCCTGGAACTGTTGCACGGACTGGAGGAGGAAGTTTTTAGGCAGCGAGTTCTGGGTCACGGTTCTTTTGAGCCTTCCCTGAAGGCAGGTGCAGTGGAGGACGTGCGGGAGGGGGTGCACGTACCCTTCGGTGGTCGGCTGTAAAGCATTGATGGGAGCTACGGAGCTCTGGATCTGCACGGTCCCCGGAGAAGGAGAGCACTGGTAACAGAAGGCATCGCTCAACTGTTGACAGGAGTGTGGGCTCCACTTCACCGCCACTTGCTTGTAGGCATCAGGGCAGCTACACTGCCTGCTCTGGGAGAAAATGGGGCATAGGGCGTGCTGGTCAAGAGAGGTCTGCAGCACAGCTGAGCCAGCGACGTTTTTTATGCTTTTACCCACTTCGTTGCCGTAGGCTGGATGTAGAGGCACACAGGTGTTTTGGGGCCTGGTGCTGAAGACCTCCGAGCAGATGTGGGTTTCTTCAAAAGTCACTTTCTCAGCAGGGTTACAGCCGCCCGGCTGCGACGCCAGCGGCTCCAGCTCGTAGTGCTCGTGCTCCATTTCCGGCTTTGGATTTCGGGAGTCCAGCTGGTACTTGCTAACAGCATGGGATTTATTTTGTCCTCTGCCCCCTTGGGCTCCTGAAAAGGTCTGAGAGAAGGCGTTACACCGCAGTTTTTTCGGTAGCGGGATCTGGCCACAAGTGCCCTGGGGCCCGAGGCACCGGCACATGCACTGGAAGAAGAACGTTGCAAAAGCCCAACTAATGCACATGATAAGCATCATGAAAGTCCCCAGCTGCGTGTAGGCCAACACCGTGGAGGGCATCATCATGGCTCCAGCTACAAATGTCGTCAGGGCAGCCATTGCAATAGCAGAACCCATACGGCTTAAAGAAAAAATTACCTTCCCCTCTCGGTCCGGGTCGGGGGCTAAGCGATACGCCACTCCGTAATGAACAGCAAAGTCTACAGATAAGCCAACAGCCACTGAAATGGTGACAGATTCTAACACGTTTAGCTCCCACCCAAGAAGAACCAGAGAACCTACAGTGACAAAAATAGTTCCAGCTATCGACACCTTCCCCTCTCGGTCAGGGTCCGGGGCTAAGCGATAAGCCACTCCGTAATGAACAGCAAAGTCTACAGATAAGCCAACAGCCACTGAAATAGTGACAGATTCTAACACGTTTAGCTCCCACCCAAGAAGAACCAGAGAACCTACAGTGACAAAAATAGTTCCGGCTATCGAAACTATTGCATAAAGGCTGATGATTATATTCCAAGTTGTAAGAAGCATTACGCTAAACGCAACAGCAACCGAAAGACCCATGGCAATCAGAGTCCCATCAGAAAGGCTGTCCTGAAGATCGTAAAATTCGAGGTTACTCACGAACCAGCCATTGCTAAGACCTTCCGGAGCTGAACTAAGCTCACTTGAAATCCAGGAGTCCACCTCTCTGTAGAACTGATGCATTTTCTCATAAGCCAGCGTGAAGAGGTAGGTGCTTTGGAACTCCAACACCACTGCCCTGATGGTGTCGTTCAGGTCAAAGCGAGGCCCTGGGGTTTTACTGTCTAAATGGTACCCTGTGCTTCTTTCTAGCTCCATTATCGCTCTCTTGATACATAATTCAAAAACTTCTTGTTTGTAGGGAAAGCTCCAGTGGCTGCAGCAGGGGTAAAGAGCCGGCTCGTCACAGTCTTGATTTTCCATCCACTGCTTAAACGTTTCAATGAAGCAGCTCGTGAAGTCTTGTTCGTCAGTCTGATAGTAAAATGTCTGATTTCTTAACTTCTGACAGAAACGTAAAATCCACACCTGTGAAGCCGGGCTAGCGATGTTAAAACTGCTATCTAGCTGCAGCTTTCCTTTACTTTTAGGGTTTAAAGGGTCACCGTTATCCTCAGGTGTGACACCCCAGATGACCGTAATCGGCATGTGGAGCTCTTCTCCGTGGTGGACACGTTCAAACATAAAAAGCTTTTTGTATTCTGCATCGTATCGTTCAAAGGGGTGAGAAGACCTAAATACCTGAAACTCAGAGAGCTCCAAGGATGGCAATTTCATCTTTGGATTTACACACACGATATAAGCTCCACCTATTGTTAAGGCAAGGAACCAGAAAAGCCAGATGTATCGAAACTTGATAACGATGCACGGCAACACTTTTTCAAAAAATATCCTGGACGCTTCTGAGACTGCAAAAATAACCTTGTGGAACATTTGGCACAACACTGTCCAGCAGTTTTTGTTGCTGTACACCCTCTGCTGAGGTTTCTTAAAGCAGCTGAAAATATTGAGAAGGTATCGTTCGTGTAACACAACCACAGCAGGCAGCCACGTGACCATCAAAACGTAATTCACCAAGATGGCAGTGCCGGCGTAAACACCAAAACACCTGATTGCTGTGATATTGCTGACGTAATTAGCGTAGAAGGCAGCGGCGGTAGTAAAACTCGTGACGAACATGGAGAGAGCAGCGTGCTGCAAGGTGATGCTCACCGTCTCGGAGGTTCCAGCATGAGGTTTGTCAAACTTTGTGTAGTTCCAAACGTCACACAAGACAAAAGCATCATCTGCTCCAATCCCAACAAGAATAATCAACGCAGTGAGGTTCATGAACGGAAAGAATTCAAAATTAAATACTACCCGATAGAGAAAGTACGAAATAATCAAGGAACTAATTATTGCAAACATCGTCATCAGCGTGATAAACATGGACTTTGTGTACACACACATAACTAATAGAACAATTACAATGGCTATGGCAGGATACACAGTATCCATCAGCAGGTAATCCTGGAACAACCTGTGTTTTATTCCAAACTCGATCCCGGTGACGGTGGTGACACCGTCGGAAGCGTTCCAGTTCTCAAAGTTATCTAGGTAAATACTCATCATGCTTTCCCCCTTCTCCGTGGGGGAGAAGAGCATGCTGTACTTTAAAGCTGGTAGGACGTAGTCGGCTGTCTTTGGGCTTAGGAAATCCTTGTCCACGAGATAGTGGAGGATCTGGTAAACAGCGTTGTACTTGGTACACTTGCGAGGCACGTTTGTACACTTGAGCTGGTCCTTCCTCTTGGCGCTCATATCCCAGCAGTCGGGCCCCAGCGTCCCGTTGTAGTAGTATTTGGCACACGTGCGGAGCAGCTTGAGGGTGTGGGAGACGTCCCTCTCCACGATTTTTTGACAGGAGGACCTGTTGTTCAGGATGGCGATGTAGTTGCCCAGCGTCCAGCTGGGGCAGCAGGAAGCCGCAGTGGCTCTCTGGCAGAGATCGCCAAAGTGGGAATGGGATCTGATCTGTATAAAGACAGGCAGGGCAAAAAAATCCAGTTTTAAGGAAAGGTCTGAATTGTTAGAAGCATCCACCCACAAAGAAAAGAATCGCAAAGTGATGAAAATTCAGGTCATGGTCCTTTTGGGTTAACATTTTAAGTTCTTATTTCCGCACACACTGGTTTTGATCAGCATCCTCTGCCATGCAGCTGACTAAAGCAGGGGTAATTCAGTGCACTGACTTGTCACAGCGGTATAAAACTGGCAGAAATGTTACAAATATTGTAATTCTATTGTTTGAAGATGCGCTGAGGGTTGTTTTTTTTTTTCCAGAGTGAGGGCTGTTAACTTTCTTCTATCAGCTTGCACTATAGTCCTGAAAATAAGCAATCAGCCACTCATCAAGGAGGTTTCGTTCTGCTCAGAATCACATACTGCAGGCCCTAAGAGAGGCAGGGACTTACTATCCAGAGAAAAACAGAAGTGCCAGCTTTACGATGTCTTCCACCATCTGATCTCTCCTCTATAACCCTCATTTATGAGTCTTTTTTTAGCTCTGGTAGCCGACAGACACTTCCCCAGCCAGGCACTGTGTGCCCCCGAGGCACCAGCTCCAGGGAACGTGGCCGGGGCAGGGAGCTCCCCAAAATAAGCCCTGCTGCACCAAGAGGGGGGTCGTGCCTCTGGACACTGTCCCCACTGTGGGATGAAGTCCCAAGAGCTGACTCGGGAGCAGGGGGGAGGAAGATGCAGCAGCAGCAAGGCCAGAGAGGATGACTTAGCTAACTCACTGTAATCACCCCAGGCAAAATTGAGAGTAGCTACAAAACAGAACTGAGACTCTTAAATAATAGGGTTAGATCAGGGAAAACAGGGAGTATAAGCCTTAAAATCCAGAGCTTCTGGCTCGTTATATGTGACAAACTAGAATTAATCCTTCCAATATTTAGATATATGTAAAATTTCAGTCTTAATCAAGCTGCACAGAATGAACACATATCAATAGACACATTAATAAAGTCATGTGCTTAAGAGTTTACAGGATTGGGCCCTGAAACCACTATCTATGTGTGCTTTAAATTTAGATGATCTATAAACCTACCATTTGGCTTTTTTTTTTTTTTAACAAAACTGCACAGGTTTCTTATTAGCCATCCTTTATAATGCAGACAAACCCCCCTGCATTTGGGGATTCTCATGGCAGTCGTAAAAGCTTTAATATGGATTTAATTTTGTCAACCAGTTTCTCAACAATAACAAACTGGCATTCCAAAAAAACAGGATAATTCACATTTGATTGTTTCCAGATAAAAACACTCACACATGCAAACTCAGGAAAAAGCGAACAACCTACTAAATAAAAGGAAGCACTGGAATAGCATATCTCTATTTTTCATGGCACATCTCCAGGTTAATCCTATGAGGATATAATAGGCAAAGGGGGAGGAAAGGATCGTATTGTCTTCCCTACGTATTCAAGTTCAAGATGGGACAATGAGGTTTATACGCTGTTCTTCAACACTTGCTGCAGGCCATAAACATTCACCGGTAACTGCTGCCAAAGATAAAGTAACACGAGCTGGCAGCTGGAAATTAGAAATTAAAATACAAAATCTAGCTCCGGATGGCTCATTAAAATGCTCCATAAAAAATTAATATATTGTAGCACTGAGCTTTGTTGGTGATCCAAAGGAACTGAAAAGGCCGTTTGGCTGTTGCCAGCCTCGGTCTGCCACTGGCAACGTCCTCATTTATTTTGGAAGGAGTAAGGAAAGGAAGGCGGGCAACCTGCGCGCGTTTGAGATGTGCCCAAATGGATCCCTGCAGTGACAGAGAACCACAAACACACGGGGTTTGGGGAACCCATCTGAGGAGATCATTTACAGTCTTTGAAGTTTATAAAAAAATAACTGTTTACGCTTTATAGGGAAAACATTCTGCAATTAATAGGTGAAAGAAAGGGCTCTTCTTATCCAAGTAGTAAAAAATTTGCACACCACCTACGGCTATTTGCTACATGATGTCTCCAGGAAGATTATGGGACTACCATGTGCCGAGCAGCTGCAGGATGGAGCCCCTAAGTGTCAGTAAAACATATATTTAAAGTAGTTACAAGCAGATGGGAATACAATTAACACATAGGGGATATATTGTTAGCTCATACTAAAGCAAATAGTAGCTGGTGCTGAAATCCTGCTTATCATCAGAAAAATACGTTAATTCTAAGGTTTGCATTTCCAAAAAATAGTGTCTGATTTTCCCCTCTTGGAATAGAAAAAGCTTTGCCACTTATTTCAACAGCCTTTTGGCACGGACAGGCATGAATTCAACAATAAAAACTACAGCCAGAGGAGACTCCATAAGACCAGAAGGTCGTTGAAGACATCAATTTATCCTGATGGCTGCGACACAAGTCAACACCCTCTCCAGGGGCTGGCTCTAGCAGAACCCAGCATTTACAAGTGGGGCATATTACCTACTTCATGACTTCTATAAGGTATTAGAAGGGCTCAGAAATTGTTACTGTTAGAATCGTTGGTACGTGCTATTTGTAAGTAACAAGCATTTTAGAAGAAAAAATAAATGAAAAAATCCTCAGCCCTTTCTGAGCACTGTATGTCTAATTTTTATTATAAATGTACATAGAGCTGCAATAATTGCAAAACCTAACCATATCAATTTGTTTTGTCTCCTAGCTAGCTATAAATCAATGCTGCTCTCACGATGCACTGTCATTCTGCTCAGCTAAGACGTTTGATTACTATATTCTTACGTAAATACCTAAATTACAAAAAAAGATCCATAGAAAGAATATCTGCAACAACCCTTCTCCATCCTCTGGATGGTGTTATAAACAAAACCAGATAAATTCCCCTGTTTTTTAGCTTTGTCTGCGTGCTGACGACTCGAAAAGGATGTGAACAAGGTGACGTCCTCTTAGATGCTACAGGATGGCAACAGGCAGCAATACAAAGTTTCAAATACAGGCTTCATACCTGCAAGTTAAACAAATGAAAGGCCGTCTTTACTTACCCTCAAGTTATCTACATTGCACATGGACTTAATTGCATTCAAATTCCATAAATTCTCTCCTTCTGTTGATGTAAACACCACTCGTGAATAGCGATCACCTGAAATTACAGGAGGGGGGTTTTAGAGATGATTTGGGTGTGGCCGGTATCAAAGACCAAGGCAAAATCCCACCAATTCCAATGACACAGATTAAATCTTTGTCGGGTCATGGGAATCCACCTCCTTTTCGAGAGGAGCTATTTATCTGTAAGACTCAGTCCACATTAAAGTTTCAGTTTCCTTTAAGTGCTTATAGTAAATAGGCATCTTCAACATTATATACCACTTAGAAGCACTACAGACTGCTATTCAAGCAAACTGTCTTCCGAAATATGACAAACAAATACAAATCAAAAGATCTAATCAGCAAACTATGAAATTCTTGGCACGGCATAATGGCAGTGCACAGATAATAGTAATCAAAGGCTGATTTAGTAAGTCATTTGGGAATATAAATAATAATTATAAAGCTGTTTCTACGAGAACGTTTTTGCTTTAGAAGCAAATGACTGCAGTGGAAATTGTTGTGATATCCTTGAGGCCATTTTTAAGAATTCTACAGTTTAGACACATACAGTTTAAATTACAAATTAAATCACATTTATTAGAAGACAGTTTTTAGGAAAGAAAGTAATTACTTTGCGGCAGCGAGATGTTTCTGCATAGCTAACAAAGAAAACATACATACAAGCACAAATACATGCTACTGCATAATTCAATATGGAACTTTGGGTTAAGAAACATCATCACGGTAATTACAATATTCCAAACTGCTGTGAAACGGGCAGAGTTTTTGCCTTTCATGTAATAAAAAGTGCTTTATGATGTCTGACTGTGCCTTAGGAGGAAGGGAACTGGGATCTGCAAAGACAGACACCAGGAATGACAAATAAGGGTCAGGAGGAAATGGACTGTTTTCTTTACATCATGGACTGGCCAACTTTCCCATAGGAGCACGATTCCTTCGTGAGGGCCACAGCTGAGACTACGCAGGGACGGGAGTGGAAAGGAGGAGAGTGAGGCTACGCAGAGACAGGCAGGGCAAGGGGAGGGAATTCTGCTTCAGGCTCCACTTAAGGCTCAGTAGAGCTCTGAGCAGATTTTCTCTTCCTCACACAAGGTCTGCTCAGGCTGGTTTGGTTCTGCTCGTGGGAGCAGAAATGACGACATCGCTCACATCCTCTCACTTGGATGTAAGACCATAACGAAATTGGGGAAAAGAATTAAATAATTTAAAAAATAATAAAAAAATCCGTTTTTCACCCTGGTTTTTACTGGTCATTGCTCTCTCAGATCAAGTAATACAAACAAATAATCTCACAATTATGTTTTTGTGCTCTGTTATCAGCCCTCACATATTGAAGTCGCTGCAAAAGAGCCCGGGTCATTGTATGAATGAAGGCAAGATCTACATCTGCCAACACACGCTCCCTGCCAGAACAGACTTATCACAGGTCTGCAGTCTGCCTTGGGAAAAGGCAATAAAGACTTCTTTGTCTTTTCTGTCCTCTCGTTTCACTGAGACAGCTTCATCAGCCTTCAGGACTTTAAGGTGGGATTTTTACTTTGTTTCTTTGAGGGAAATGCTTTGTTTGGGGTTTTTGCGTGCGTGTGATTTTTGTGGGCCTTTTTTTCCTCAACAACCCCTAAATCCTGGAGAAGATACGACCTGTGGGTGTCTTTTAGGACATATACAGGAAAAGGATTTTGAACTAAGTTTTTGTAGAGATAAGTTAACAGCACAGATGCAACACAACTTCTTCCCTAGTATGAATTAAGGGCTACCTCTACAGTCATACACCAAACACTGCTTTTACAGTCATCAGCACTTTGGATAACTAATAAAAATCTTTATAGGAAATGGAACCACTGAAAGAAAGCCACTGAATACAGTTGGTTCCTAGGAAGAACCAATGGAACACAGCATTTCAGCCCAATTTCTTCAAAGACTTCTGCCCACAGAAAGAAGGTGATACTGTGAATGCACTAACCAAAAAACATAAGGCACACAATATACAGAAAAGCTCAGAAATGATTCAGCTGGCAGAAGGTTTTAGCTTTCCTTACATCATTGCTCCACTTACTGGGAATATCGCAGAAGAAGGTGTCCTTGTGGAAGTTCCACTCTGCTTGTCTCTTCTCTCTCTCGTAGTGATCGTCTGACCATCTGTCATCCTGATGACTAAAACAGAATACAGAGTTTTACGTACCGCAGCAAAGAGACTGTTAAAAGGAGCATCCAAACCAGCCACACATCTTAATAGCTCTTACATATGAAAAAACATGTATTTTTACCAAAGTGAATTTGGTATTCAAAAACTGAAACATTGTGTTTTTTGCTATTATAGACTTCAAAGGACACTACAATGAGAGTGTAATACTGAGTACCCCAGTATTGAAAATACCCGTAATTCAAAAGATAATTACAATTATAAATTCTTTTGAAGAGCTTGTGATGGAAATATCTACTTCTGTGCGAACGGCCTGAAGAACTGTAGAAGACCAGTTCAATGTTTGTATGACATCAGTGGCAGTATATACATTAACTTCAGCGGGTCTTAAAGCAAGTGCTATGTATGCATAAAAAAATCCCCAATAAAATAAAATAAAATGCATTTTTAATACGTACCTTTTAGCTTGCTCATCTGCATATTTGAAAGGATAGTTTGCAAGCGTGGCTTTGTACCCCGTGTTTTTGACCATGTTGTTCCACGTGACCAATCTCTGTCCTATGGCCGTCCCTCGTGGTTCAAACCCCTGAGAGAGAGCAGCACAACATTCCATTAATACTTCTCATTCTTTCACTGGAACAGGGAAGTGGAATCACGATCAAAGTGATGGACAGTTTTCATTAAGAAGCACAGTTTCTCCAGGCATCTACTTCTAAAGGTAAAATGCTTTATGACAGGTCAGACAAAATAAGGGCCAAGTGTCCAGAGTGACAAGAGATTAAGAATTCTGGCACGTACAGCTTCTCTCCCTGAGAAGTGATGATGATTTGTCTATCAAATGTTCAACACTTCATCTGCAGAGCAAGGGTGTTCTACAAAGTCCTCTTCTGTATCTCAATTCTCACTCTTTACTGTTTAAATATGACTAAAACCCACTTAAGTACATCTTCTTCATTTCTCCAAGAATAAGGCAAATCTTTAAACTATCTTAATTTCTCCAAGAATAAGGCAAATCTTTAAACAATTTTCAAAGTAGCTTTGAAACAATTTTAATAATTTGTCTGTTTTCAAGAGCTACACATGACATGGATATGTACAGATATATGCTACTATAACAGACACAAAAATAACTTATAGGAACAGTATATTTTTATTTGAGGATAATAATTCAATACAGTATTTTCAATAAAAGTCCTGGAAGCTACTCATGGGTAAGACAGCTCATGAAAAGTACGAAATGAGTGCAGTGTTTAATAGAATCTGATAAAAATTACTTTGTCTTTCAATATAGATATCAATTCATCCCCAGAAGGCACCTAGAATCCCCTTTCCTTTAACAGATCCTGCCCCTCGCTCTTTGAAACCTGCCTGAGAACATATGGTCTGTGTTGTTTTCTGCTGTACATCCAAAACTGGGCTGAATTTACAGTATTCAATGTACAGCAGCTCTGTTGAAGGAGACACGAGCTTTCCATAGCAAAATTTAAACAAGTGGATAACACTCTCTGCTGCAACTGCATCTCTGTACCACCGTTAGCTGCCCCCATGTCAAGATTTAATACATTTATTTTTTTAATTAGAGGAGTTACAAGGCTCTTTACCAGCTCTTTTCTTTCATGGATTCACTAGACAGAAATTGCTTCTGCAAGTGTACTGCCAACTGAATCTCACTGGAAATTGGCATATTAAGGGTCATTTTTTACCTCTGGGCAGATCTCAGTTTAAGAGGAACGTATCAATTTCTGCAGTTGCATCTGCTGTTTACTGGTACCGCCGAAAAACCAGCAAAACCAAAAATACTTATTTGACAGGAGAGCTGATTAATATTTACCTACCAGCAACGGATCAGAGAAATCTGGAAGATCTGGAACCAGTATTCCAACCAGGGCACACACCACTATCAACACCGTACACATGCCCAGGACCACCACGGGCCAGTCGGCTATCAGCGCAGCGTAGCTACGAGGAGAGGAGCAGACAAAAAGATGGTACAGGAATAAAAATTATAAGCCACAGCAATAATTTACATAAAATTTTCTTAAATAAAAAATGCAAAAAAAAAAGCATATGTGCAGTGAAAACTTCTGTTTAAGACTAAACGTATTTTATATAAATATTTTTTCCTTAACTTTATACTTAACTTCTAGCATGGATATTATAGCAATAATTTACATAAATTTTTCTTACATAAAAAATGCAAAAAAAAGCATATGTGCAGTGAAAACTTCTGTTTAAGACTCAACGTATTTTATATAAATATTTTTTCCTTAACTTTATACTTAACTTCTAGCATGGATATTATCCATAGGTGGGGACTACTAGGAAATAATTGCTTTGTTAAAAATTTAATGATAGAAATCATTACAGCTTCTTCTTTGAAACTTTAGGCTTTTAAAAGAAAAATACCAAAGAGAGGACAAATTAATTTTAAAGTGGCACCCAAAAGAAAACATTTCTTCTGTATTTAAAACAGTCATTAAAAAAATTACTCAAACCCTATATACTAATGATCCATTAAATCTGTTGCAAATTCAAAGGTGCAAGGGAGTTGCAACATGATACATAAACTAATCAGCATTAATTGTTTAGTCTTCTAGTATAACATATTCTTGGATTTTCACTCCTACTTCAGTCTAAATTTTAAGAGTGCATGAATTTTTATATGCAAATGAAATTTTCACCATTTTCATAAAACTGTTAAATTGACAGAGAAGTATCAGAAAATAAAATGAGAACTAGAAATCTTCATTTCTTAATAATTTTTCTTATAGTAAAGACTTGAATTCACAGAGTTTATGTTTCAAGGGCAGCACTGTCTAATCTTGGGAGCAAATAGAGTACAGACAGTCCCACAAAGCTTAAAGGGCATTAGAAAAATAATTATAGGCTATGAATCATTCTGTATTGATGGCCTCAGGATGATCTATACTCTTACCTCCTCTACTTACAAGCAACATAACATGAAAGTTTAGAGCAAAGCACTCCCTGGACTTATTTCTACTGTCTTAAAGGATTATTTTCTGCCCCATAGCTCAGATGGGAGGCCATACCCAGTTCCCTGCTCCAGCAATGGCTTCCCAGTTTTCTAACTATAAAATCAACCCATTGAGCAAGTTTATTGCTGATTTCCCATCACACATGGAAACAGGGGTCTGGGTACAGGTCGAAGGAGCAAGGAAGTCCAAAGCACTGGGCGTGTCTCAATTTTCCATTAGGTAAACGTGGAATAATTCATACATTCTCACACAAGAGGTTAATTAGCCAAAGCTTGAAAAGCAATCTTAAGTGTACGTTTTGATTGAAGTGAATCACAAAGGGGCAGCTTGCCAAATGAGCAATTGTACGAAGTAAAAGTGAAGGGAAGTAAATGACCTAATAGAATTTTCCTATTTATAGGACTAAATGTTTTCCTAAACACCAAGTACTAGATGGACTAGCTATTAGAGACTTTTGCTCTGGAGTCATAAAAGTTATAACCAAGAGATTTATTTTCCTGTTCATCACTAGTGCCAGGTTTACCCTTTTGCCATGTTGTCTCTACACCTCCATTCTCAGCTGAGCTGCTCTTCAATGGGTTAAATTCTTCAATCACTCGCTGTGAAAGAAACTATGTCCCAGGTGAGGCATTTAAGGTGTTAACAAGCCACGTACAGAAGTGCTCATCTACACCTGCAGATCTGTCCTGTTTCTTGTATCTCACACTGAAATTCAGATCAGCAAAGCTGACCTGGGCTAGAACATCCCAAAGGACTAACCATACTATATTTTAATTTCATTTTTCTGAGCAGCATTTGGTGCTGCTGGAGGCTCTGGCTCCAACCAGGTTGCCTTTAGCCAGCCTTGATCCCAGCCCACCACAAGGGGTTAAACCTGATGGCAGTCACTTTATTTTTCACTCAATAAAAAGCCATGAAACGAGTTCAGTTACTTGTTATTTTCTCTGTGAAAAGCCAGCCACTGCCCTCACTTAGATTCTGTGTAAGTGACCGCTTGCTGATAATGTCCTAGTCCAAGAGGAAAGCACTTAAATCAATTCCTCAGCCAAGGAATCACCCACATTCTCCCAGCACATCCTTAGTGCCAAGCACATGCTTTAATACTTTTCTAAATCCTGCTTTTGGATGCCTAATTAAAACTATAGCTGCTCAATAAGCTGGGCATATGGCTGCGCTGATACACTATTGTTTCTTTTTTTCCTCAAAACTATTTAAGCACTAAATGATGGATTCTCAGTAACTATGACACTGCCTGAAATATCTTTTTTATGCCATTTCACCCCCTGCTTTCAATCTAGCTGTTGGAACAGCAACACTGCTGGAAGCTGCTGTTCCATGAAGATGCATATAGTTCTCATTCATGTCTTTCCTTCCGCTGTTTTTCATCCACTTGAAAAAAGTCTAGGGTTTTGGTGGTTTTTTTCCTTCATGTTTTAAACAAATACAAATGCTTAGGAGTATGTAATTCAATCTACAGTTATCTCACCCATTTAACACCACGAAAAAACTGGTTTCAAGCAATTTGCCCCAAGGTGATCTACCTCAGATGCTTTCTTAGAAAGCAGAAAGGAAAAAAAAAAAAAAGAAAAAGTGAGAGAGTGCTCCAATATGTCCTCACTTTAAGCTACTGCTTAACACACAGAGAGTTTTAAACTTTTCAGTTAGCACCTATTTGCAGACATACTCGGGTTAAACCACCAGCCAGTCTCATATACAAGACAGAAACACACCATATATAGTTTCCCTATCATAAAGAAGTGGCCATGAGCAACAGGTATTTGTGTGGTTGAATTCATACTAACAAACAGATTTACGTAACTCAAATCAGGTATTTAGCAAACAGGTTTGTTCCTTACTCAAGGCAAATTCTCTGACCCTGCCATTCTTCAGGGAATATGCAGCCCAAACCTACAGCTCTTGACTCTGGGGGGTTTCTGGTTTTAGGCAGAAAACAAGATCGTTACGATGAAATTTCTGAGCTTTTCGGTCAGGTGGTTTTATCATTACTGATGACACAACCAAGCTGCTGCTCAGAACAGCCCTTAATCAAAAAGGTACCGAGTCACAGGTTTTTATGCCAGTGCAGAAAGCAGATATACACCAAAGAGAATGGCATGGACTGTAGTAAAAAATAAAATATGTGTCCCTTTCAGAAATTCACTACCCACTGCAGAAAGAAATACTTTCCTTGTCTCTTTTTTTAAAAAAAATCTGGTTTAATTTGATTGTCAACTATTTTCTTTTAACACTCCTCACTCTTGCAATGTGTGGGGAATCACAGTTTTGCCATCACCTCCTCTACTGCCTTCATGATTCTGCAAACCTCGCGTGTGACAGTATTAGTTCTTACCTTTTTGGTAACTTGAACGGTCTGGCTGGCCTGGAAGGAGGAAAAAAGAGAATAATTGAAAATATATGAAACATACATGCAAGCGCCAATTTGTTTAATTCTTCCCATACATGGATAAGCAGCTAAATTATAAAAATCAGATATTTTAGAATATGAATTATTTTAAAAGGCATACAATCACATTCAATTGAGTCTTTGCAAACAAGCAATTCAGAGAATAATTACAGCTACAGACAGCTGGGTTTTCAAAAGTGAAATTTTATGCAGCTGATTTTCGGGATTAGTTTTTAAGAGGCTTCCAGTTTTCAACAAGAGACCAAATAAACTAACACGATAAAAATTCAGTAGCATTGAGAACCATGACAAAGTTTGGGTATGATGGGAACAGACAACCAAAATACCACATTCTGACATGGCAATTCATGAACCTTCTTAAATGTCCTTTGTAATTCAGCTACAAAAAATCCTTTTGGGCATAAATTCTGTCTTGTCATAATGAAGCAAATTAAATTACAAAAGGTGCTTATATAAAACAACTTTTCTATGCAAGTCTTTGTTATTTGTTAAAAATCTCATACCAACAACGTTACTTTGATAAGGATATCACAACCCCAAATACAAATTCTTCCTATCTGCCACTGCTCACAGCCCACTTCAGATGTATATTCCCAGCACCACTAACTAACAGGACAGCAAAAGGGTGATGAAAATGTAATCGACAGCATAGAGTAATACAAATGTGCCCATCACTATCACCCCTTTCCACAGCAGAGAGGATAGGAAAACAAATTAAACTAGCAAAGCTAAACACGGATGCTAAGCTCTCTCCTACTCTTCATCCATTCATGATGTCTCTCAAGCAAGAGAGTACATAAATATAACTGCGATGGATCAACAAATATAAAGCTGATATATTTATTTCCTCAAGAAATACAAATCCAATATATTTATTTCCTCAAGAAATACAGATCCATATTAATTTTCACTGTTATAAGAAATAAGAGCAAATTTCATTCGGCTGTAATTCAGTGCTGTCTGGAAATGCTCCAACCCGAGCGTGTAGCAGAGCTAACTGGGACATGCCCTTGGGTGGTACATAGTTGTAAAAATCACTCCTTGAAACCATGAGGAAGCTGGAGAAAAGCAGAATAACCAATTTGCAGTTGCAGTAACTCGAGGATTAAGGAAAAGTACAGACAAGGATTTTCTGTTAAATCCAGCCACAAAAATTTAGATTAAATTTATGAAATGTCACCAGCCTTCTTGTGGTGGTACCAAAGGTTTTTGGCATTAGTTGTGAAATTGAGTATGTTCAGCACCTCTGAAAGTCATATTTGTGCACCTCGGACTACAAACCAAAGATTTATATGACAACTCAGGTTTAAACTGGCAGACAAAATTCCTTTCCATATCCTCGGATGATCATTACCACGATCACCATGGCTCTACAAAGGGTTAGCTGGGTCATCCAGAAAGCCATGACCACATCACACACAGTGCCCCAAACCGGAGGTTTGATTGGACAGCGAAGTACAGAACTGCCACAGAATCACCCGAGGTCCTCAAAAAGCTGGTGAGACACGTATTTGTTGGGAAGGACCATGGTGTAATGGATATTATTCTGCAGGAATCTTCTCAAAGTATCTTCTTGTATAGTCACCCTTCCCACAGCTCTCCCAGCCCCTCCCGCATGCAAAACCTTAGTACATGTGCATGTTTCAAACCTCTCTCTTCAAACTTTATGCTGCCTTTCAATTATCTCTGTAATCACAGGTCAAAACAGATTTTCTTAAAAGAACGTAAAATTTGTTCAGATAGAACTTTCAAAAATTAACTGAGGCTAATTTGATTTACACAAAAGAGGTAAAAATACCACACAACCCTTCCTCATCCTCCTCCTCTCCCATCAAAACCAAACTACATTTCCCTCTGTTTCCTCCACCTGCAAAATATATTCAGTGCTGAACAAATGATGATGATTAAGTCCTTCAAAGTGAGGGAGGGTTAAAGGTCACACCTGCTATCAAACTGTTTGGTTTGGAAAAGCAGGCATTAAAAACCCCTGTGTACACTGAATTCCAGCAGTGTAACCAATCTCCTGCAGCTGTTGTGATGGCTCTATTATATCAGGGGATAGGAAAAGTTATCCCTGAAAACGATGCCCCAAAAATTCTTTAGTTATGCTCGAAAAGACAGAAATGCATGGCAAAACCAGATCTTTCCCATTTAATTAACACTGCTGTGTCTAATTTTTAAAGTATTATACTTCCAGTTAGTCCGTTTAAATGACACCACTAACCTCCAAAAATAATAATAAAAAAAAAAAGTCTAGACAGAAAAAAAAAAAGAAAGCCTCATCAGTTTTCATGAGAAAGAAATGGTGAATTCCATAATTGTGCTGGGACCAAAGCCAAGCCCATCCGTGTATTAAATTACCCCCGTGCTTAGTTCTCACAAGTCTGATAGTGCAAAGTGACAATCACAGTTGTTTGTGACGGACCCAGCACAACCCAGTTATGACAAAAATGACAGTCACTGATTAAAATCTAATGCACCAAGGGGGGAAAGGGGAAGGGGAAGGAAAGGACAGGCTCTGTTCTACCACCATTTACTGCAAGTGTCAGCCCTTCTTCAACAGATGCTTCACTTCATCCTGTCCTCTCCTAACGGCAAGTTCAGACTGAGCCCCACACAATTAGGAACGACATGAAGAAGGGATAACGAGATCAGTTAAAAACCCCAGACATTTCTCAACACGAAACGCACTTGGGGGACCAGCACCCTGCTTTGCACTATGGTGAAAAGGAGGAACGGGTTTTTTAAAAAGCACTGTGGTAATATCCCAAATTTTACTGTAGGAAGTAACGAGTATCAGGAGGACGGATCAGGGCACCAGTCTGGACTGGGCTACCACAGCTCTAACACTCACCTCACCGCTCTAAAGAAGCACTTAACCTCAGCATTTTTACCAGTCCTTTGAACGCTGAGGTAACAGAAGACATTTGTGCCTTCATGTCCACACCACCTTAAATAGGGGCAATTCACATGGATTAAAAAATACTATTGTCTTATAGATTTTTCAATCTGTGAAAGAAGATGGCTAGAGCTCTAGGCTCCTGAAGGGGAACACACCATGCACTGGGCCACATCCTGCCTCCAGGTTCTCAATGAAGCCAATGTTTCCTTTTGGTTACAGCAGTGGAAGGGTTTTCTCACAACAGTCAATAGATTGGCACGGGTGTCACAGAGAGGGGAGTGTGGGCTGAACTTCAAGAACCACAATGAAAACTTCTGGAAACCATAAATATTATTAAATCTAATTCTATGAGCTTCGTGTTACCTGGACATTACATGGCTCAAAGCAATGTCTCACCAGTTATGAACTCCCAGCTGAAGGGACTGGAAGCCCTGAAAAAGATACACACCAGCCTGTGCCACCACTTCTCCTACTTCATTGAAGGAACAGGTCTCAGATGAAAAAGCACTGACTGCTGATAAATGCCACCCCTTGGCAAATCCAGCTGAGATCCACACTCAGTGACATCTGCGTATGAGCAGTGACAGCCAACCATCATTTCAGGGCTCAAACAATAGCACAGAAATGGTCACTGATGGAAATTTGACAAGAGTAGGAAAAGCCCAATTTTCAGAGAAAACTAACTGGAAAGGCAGCTGGTCTCCTTCAGTTTGGCACTGAGCTGCACAAGATTTTGAAAATAAATGTATAGCTTACAGCTATTTATCATAAAGTGGTTGTTACAGGGCTGTAACTGGTCACTAATAGTATTGCACATAACACACCAGCAGAAGCAATCACCACAACTGCTCCAGCAGAAGAGGAGCCACCATAAATGAAAACTGCAGACGTTGCAGCAGATCTGTAACACCTTCAGTTTCTGGTGCCGTGGACAAACACCAAACGTGTGGCATAATCTTGATTCTACTTTCCTCACGCAGGTATTCATAAAAGGGATGCACTCTCTTGATCCAAATAAAGATCGCATCCATAAAAACACATAGCATATTTGTTACATAGTGTACTCTCCAGGACACAAATCATGTATCTTCTTTCTGAAGCACCTTGTATACCACTGGTTTCTAAATATAGCTATAGCAAAATCCTAATCATTAAAAACTTCTATGATTCTATAAGGAAAAAGCCAACAGCAGCAAACCTAATTTTGCACTCTTGCTTTTCACTTCAAGATTGGTTTGAGTAAAAAATGTTAAGTTACGACATAGAGCTGTACTTACTGGGAAAAAAAAATAAATATCAATATAAAGACTCCCTTTGTCCAAGGATTATGAGGTGTTTAACTTCAGTGCTTTACTTTGCCAGAGGGAAGCTATTCCCTTTGTTGGTAGATCTGGTTACAAGAAGCGATAAAACATAGCTTTTTGTCATTATTATGCTCAAGGATAAGCTAAATCCCTGCAGGACAGAACGAGATACGCATCATATTGTACACCTTCCATTAGAACATACAATACAAACTAAATCCCGGCAGAGGAAGAAAATCCTTGTGTTTTCAGAGTGTCATTGACCCAGGAGAACAATCTGAAATGCTCTAAAATATCAGGCTCGCTTTGGCTGCTCTATCAGGTGTAAAGCCTACGTGCTTTATCATTTTAACAATCACTGCAATCACTCAGACAACAAATCCAAGAGATTAAGTTGCCAAAAAACTTTTTGCAAGCCTCCCAACTTAATTTTTCACTACGATGTATAGAGTTTTCCTTGATTCTATTCATGAACTCTCTCTGGATGTTTTTTAAAACATGCAGTGTTTATTGTATTTGTCTGCACTTAGCTTTGCTTATTTACATCTATAAGGGAAGGACAACTCACAACAGAAGGATGTTGTAAAGATGACAGAGAATTCAGTTTTCTGATAAGTTGCTTTTTTTAAGTTTTATTGAAAGCAAGAAAAAAGCCAAGAATTGTCTTGTCTCCCACAGAGGATGCCAAGGAACAATGGAAAAATATTTTATATTTTTCTCTCTAGATTATCAGTGAGGTGATCTGAAAC